AGAACCAGCTGCAAACATCCATCGATTAACAACAGGCTCGAGTGTGTCAGAGATCATAAAGGAAGCACAGGGTAGGACAAGGTTCAGATCAGTTGTTCATAGGGTCACCATGAGTCAGAGTTGGCCTGATGGCACCTAACAACAACTTAGAATATCCCTTGTTTAAATTTAAAACACTTACTATGACTAAAGAAAGGAGTCCTTAGAGAGGCATGCCTCTTGCTGGGGCTCTTTGGGATGGTCTGGCTTCTGCATACTCTTTGTCTCACTCTCATTCTCACCCTTGCCTCTTCCCCTTTTCCTTTTACTCTTCCTTTCAGAATCCCTAATTGGCAAACAGCATGCCTAGCTGATAACCAGAAAGTTTGAGCTTCTAGTCCACTCCACGACACCCACAGAGGAAAAGCCTGGTGGTGATCTGGAAAACAGCCACTGAAAGCCTTGGTGGAGCACAGCTCTACTCTGACTGCCAAGGTTACCATGTTGTTATTGTTGTTAGGTGCCTTTAAGTCGAGTAAGTCATAGCGACCCTATGAACAAAAAATCTGAATGCTGTTCTGTCCTGCGTCATCCTCACAATTCCTGAGGCCCTCATACAAGAGCCCATTGCTGCAGTCACCATATCAGTCTACCTGGTGGAGGGTCTTCCTCTCCTTTAGCGACCCTCCATTCTTCCCAGTTTATGACCTTCTCTAAGGAATAGCTCCTCCTAGCAACATTCTCAGAGTATGAGTGAAGCATCATTATTTTTGCCTTCAAAGAGCACTCCAGCTACACCCTCTCCAAGATATATCTGTTTGCTCTCTTGGCTGTCCACGGGATGTTCAGTGCTCTTCTCTAACACCACAGCTCAAAAGCATCAATTCTGTCACTGTTCTTCACTTGTCCAGCTCTCACATGCACAACAAGTGCCTGAGTCAGACATACTTTAGTCCTCAAACTGACAACATTACTCCTCAGTAATTTGGAGAGGTCCCTAACTGCAGACTTTCCCAGTGCAGTGCATCTCCTTATTTCCTGACTGCTGGTACCAACGGTGTTAATTGTGGATTCAAAAAAGATGAAGCTGTTGACAGTTTTAATCTCTTCTCCATCCGTCATGACACTTCCTATCCGTCCAGTGGTAAGAATCTTTGTTTTCTTGGCGTTGAGATGCAGTCCATACAAAAGACTGTATTCCTAGATCTTCTGCAACAAGTACTTCAAGTCCTCCTCACTTGCGGCAAGCAAGGTTGTGTCACCTGCATAACGCAGCTTACTAATGAGTCTCCCTTCCAGTCTTAATACCACACTCCTCTTCATAGAGTGCAGCTTCTTGGATCATTTGCTCCACATACAGATTGAATAGGTTAGAATCAACTCGGGCAACTGGTTTTCTTTCCTTTGCATTTCTTTCTTCCATTCGTATCCTAATTTATAGCATTGTGTTAAAGAATATATAAATCAAAGTTGTCAAGGATTTCATTCTGCTTGGATCCACAATCAATGCACGCCCAAAGAAGCACAATCAAGAAATCAAACCGTTCTCTTGCTATAGGCAGGGCCATAGCTGGCCTCTTTAAAATCTTAAAGAGCAAAGATAACATTTTATCAACTAAGGTGTGAAAGATCCAACCCATGATATTTTCCTTTGCCTCACAGATGTAAGGGGCTGTATAAGGGGCTTTATCCTTGGGATTTGGCTGTGTGCCTTGCACACAGAGGTGCCTTCAGAAGGAAGATTGCAAGCAGCTCTGCTGAGGCACTCTGAGAAGGAAGACTGCAGACAGTTCTAACACATCTTGAGACACTCATTCCTGCTCTTGATAAGGTTGTTGCAAATGTAAGAAAGCACAGTTTATGAATACAAAGAAGTCTTGCTTGAATGGATGTTTTTTTAATCTAACTCTGTACCTGGCCTGTTTGGGGCCTGTGAGGTAAACCTTAATGTTTCTATTTGAACCAGGCCCATTTGGGCCCTGTAAGGTAATCCTGAATGTTTCCATTTCTCTGTGAGCTATTCCTTTGTTTCTGAATGCTAATAAAAGCAAAGGTTTGGGGGTTCTGGGTGCTAGTGGCCTGAGCGAGCTCTAGCCATTTTTGGATTTACATTCTGCTTTGCTAATCTTCCTTCGGCTGCACCCACGAGAAACAACAACAGATGCTGAAGAAGCTCTGGGAGTACTGTGATTAAAACATTTTGCTGATAATCTGAGATTACATGCTGTGTATCAGAGAGCTGGACAGTGACTAAGGGTGACAGAAGAATTGATGTCTTTGAGCTGTAGTGCTGGAGAGGAGTATTGCACATAACATGGCCATCCGGAGAACAAGCAGGTCTGGCTTGGAACTAACGATTTTGAAGCTTCATCTCACAAAATTTGTGCATGTGGTGAGGAGAGACCAGTCCTTGGAGAAGGGCATGCTCAGGGGTTGAAGGGACAGCGCAGGAGAGGAAGACCTCAGATGGGATGGATTGACACGGTAACTGGGGCAATGGGATTAGGTGTGTCAGAGGCTGTGAGATGGCTCAAGATAGGGCAGGGTTCAGAGCTGTCACTGAGTTGCAGGTGACTTAACGGCACATGAGAACAACAATTCTGAGGTTGGCAGTTCAAACCTACCAACTGCTCATTGGGAGAAAATTAAAGCAATCTGTCAAAATTACAGCATCAGGAACACTATGGCATACTTCTACTTTGTTGTACAGGTTCTCTAGGAATTTACATTTGACTCAGTGGAATTGAGGTTTTGGTGTTCTTTTCATATGGGAAATCAATGTTGTTGTTGTTGTTGTTGTTATGTGCCGTCGAGTCATTTGCGACTCATAGCGACCCTATGTACAACAGCCCTAAACCCTACTCTATCCTGTGCCAATCTCATTGCCTCTGACACACCCATCCCGATTACCCCAGTCACTGAATCAGTCCACCTCATAGAGGGTCTTCCCCTCCTGCGCTGTCCCTCCACTCTAGACAGTGTAAAATGAAGACTGAAGGGAAATGGACAAATTTAAGTTATGGTGTTAATAAAAAGATCTTGTCTACTGTGGATGGCTAGAAGAACTAACAAATCTGTCTTGAAGGGAGTACAGCCAGACTGCTCCTTACACATGAGGAAGGTATCCAAGTGCCCATCAACAAACGAATGGATAGAGAAGATGTGATCTATTCACACAAGGGAATGCTATGCCACATTGGTGACCCTGGAGGACATTTTGCTGAGTGAAATATCTCAGTCACAAAAGGACAAATATTGCATAGGACTACTGTTGTAAAATGGGACTGACATCGGGGTTGAGGAAGACAGAGAAGGAAGGGATGAATGATGTATACTGCATTGAAAAAGATGAGGGAGAGAACTGTTTAAAAGGGATATATGATTAGGTATTATTTGTCATGACAGAAGTCCAAAATGAAGGCTGCACAGTGGAATAGACTTGTGGGGGAGGGATTGTGTAACAGAAAGAGTTTTACTTTTCAAGGAGAAGAGTGAATTCAGGGGAGAGGGTGGGCAGGGAGAAAAGTGCAACAATGAATGACTGGAAACCCTAAGTCTCTGTAAACTTTCATTAAAATTGTTGTTGTTGTTATGTGCCATCGAGTCGCTTGCGACTCATAGTGACCCTATGTACAAGAGCTCAAAATGCCATTCTATCCTGTGCCAGCCTAGCCATCTCAAACACACTTACTCCCACCACTCCAGTCACAGAATCGATCCATCTCATCGAGGGTCTTCCTCTCCTTCGCCATCCCTCCACTCTACCAAACATGATGTCCCTCTCCAAGGACCAGTTCCTCCTTGCAACATGCCCAAAGTATGTCAGACGAACCTTCAGAATCCTTGACTCCAAGAAGCAGTCCGGCTTCACCTTCTCCAGGACAAACCTGTTTGTTCTCCTAGCAGTCCATGGTATATTCAATACTTTTCTCCAGCACCACAGCTCAAAGGCATCAATTCTCTTTCTATCATCCCTATTCACTGTCCAACTCTCTGATGCATAGCACGTAATTGCAAAGACTATAGCCTGGATCAGGCGCACCTTAGTCTCCAGCCTGACGTCGTTGTTCTTCAGTACTCTTGAGAGGTTCCTCACAGCTGACTTGCTCAATGCAATTCGTCTCTATTTCTTGGCTGCTTTTACCAAGAGTGTTGATTGTGGAGCTTCAATCCATATAGGAGCCTGCAGTCCTTGACCTTCTGCAGCAAGTGCTTCAGGTCCTCCTCAGTTTCAGCAAGCAGGGTTGTGTCATCTGCAAAACTCAGGTTGATGATTCTTCCAGCAATCCTGATGCCACATTCCTCCTCGTACAGCCCAGCGTCTCGGTTGATCTGTTCTGCATACAGATTGAAAAGACAGAATACATGCCTGACGAACCCCCTTCTTGATTTTGAACCATGCAGTTTCCCTGCTCTGTTCTGACGACTGCCTCTTGGTCCAAGTATAGGTTTCGCATTAACACAATCAAGTGTTCTGGGAGTCCCATTCTTCTCAGAGTTAGCCACAGCTTGTTGTGATCCACACAGTCAAAAGCCTTTACATAATCAATGAAGCATAGATAGACATTCTTCTGGTATTCTCTGCTTTCTGCCAAGATCCATCTAACATTAGCTATAATAATATCCTTAGTACCATGACCTCTTCTAAATCCAACCTGCACATCTGGCAGTTCTCTGTTCACATATTGTTCCAAACATTTTTGGATAATAACACACACAAAAAAAGAAATGAGGAAGGTGAGATGATGTCTCATGTTGGACATATTGTCAGGGAGGGACCAATCCCTGCTGAATGACATCATGCTTTATAAAGTAGAGGGTCAGAAATTCGTAAATTGACCCCCTTTTTTTTCATTGACCTCTTTTTCATAAGTACAAAACAAGTTGCTTTTCCGTTTGGATTCCAGTTTATTTCTGCTGCCTGGGAATTGAGGCCTCTCAGGAAACAGGCTCCCTCCTTTCTGCTTAAAGACTGGAGGGGTTAGTAAGATGCTGTGTCTCTACCTTCATATTTCTCACCAATGTTGTGCCCTACAGGTGTGTTTCATGCTGCAGAAAAGTTGGAAAAAAGGACATGTGCATTCTGCCCCAAAGGCCATGATTACAGCGTGCTGTATTTTGCACCAACAAAGAATATAGCTGCTCATGAAAACTGTTTGGTAAGTTCTTGGTGCAGCAATACTTCTAGACATTTCAAGGCATTTTGTTGAAGTGTGTCAGACCATACATTGTTGGGGTTACTCTCTGTAGTAACTATGTGTGTGTGTGTGTGTGTGTGTAAAAACTTTTGCCATTTCATTATTTTTATATTTTGTGTTTTATCTACAAATGTTCAAACTCAAAGAGAAAAAACCCCTTGTGGTCAAGAAATTTCTTTAAGGGGGGGGGGAAAAAGACATTTCTTTAAATGTACTCCAATCTTTAAAGATATTTTGGTATTTCTAATGTAATGGCAAGAAGCTGCACTACAATCCTAAAGGCACGAGGTTTGAGGCCACCAGCTGTTCTGCGGGAGAAGGGTGGGCAGTCTCCTCCCATGTGATTAACTGCTTGTGAAAGCCTGTCAGAGGGTCAGCTGTGGGTCAGTTCCAACTCAACGGTACACAACAACAACAATCTAACCGATATAAAGAGACCCCTCAGTCATATTTGTAAAATCAAAACATTATGTGATATTTGCTTTGGTTTGATTTCTTTACAAGGAAATAAAACATGGAATACCAGGGACCCTCTATCACTCCTATCAATAGGAAGCAATTGAAAACACCAACACTTGGATCAGGTACATCTTAGTCTTTAAACTGACATCCCTGCTCTTCAGCACTTTGGAGAGATCCTGAAGAGCAGATTTTACTAATGGAACACGTCTCTTGATTTCTTAATGGCTACTACCAAGGGTTTGATTATGGGTCCAAGAAGAGTGAAATTCTGACAACGTCAGTCTTTTCTCCACCTGTCGTGATGTTGCCTGTTGTCCAGTAGTGAGGATTTTTGTTTTCTTGATGTTGAGATATAATCTACGTTGAAGGATGTAGTCTTTCTTTTCTTGCAGAAAGTGCTTCAAGTCTCTTTTACTTTCAGCAAGCAAGATGAAATCATCTGTAGGATGCAGGTTAATGAGTCTTCTTCATTTCTGATGCCACTTTCTTCTTCATATTAACTCTCTCTCGGCTCATCCAAAAGGAATCAGCATCACACTTTATTTATCATTATCTGGTATTTTTCTACTTCCACTGTTGTTATGTGCCGTCAAGTTGACCACGACCCGTAGTGACCCTATGAACAGTAGCTCTGAACCTTCTGTCACACACTGCCTGTTTCTAAAACTGTTCTGCAGGTTGAGAGAGGGTAATTCTAATGCTTTCATTTGATTTACATTATCCGATGCTAGTACTGTTTCTTCTCCTGTAAATGGACATCGAGGTTTTCTCCCTGTGTGTATGTGTACGTGTGTGTGTAAGAGAGTCTATAAGCTGCCTTTCCAGGCCCCGTCTGCACTGTGAGGATTTCTTCGCTGTGTGCACAAGTAGGAACGTTGGCACTTCAGTAAAGTTGCCAAATGGCTCCCAGGGAAGCTTGGCCTCAGGTTGATTTGCACCAGCAGGTGCCCCTCTGGTGGGCGTGAAATGGCATCTAGCAGTCATTTCCCCAGAAGGATGTACTGTGCTCACCGTAGGCCTTCAGGTCCCAGTGCTGGGTGTTGGCATGCTCCTAGGCATTACCCTTGAGACGTTTGGTTTTGCTTTTGTATATATGTACATATAAGTATATACATATATAAATGTTGTTGTTGTTATGTGCCGTTAAGCCACTTGAGATTCATAGCGACCCTATGTACAACAGCCCTAAACCGTGCTCTGTCCTGTGCCAATTGCACTGCCTCTGACACACCCATCCTGATTACCCCAGTCACCTCATACAGGGTCTTCCTTTCCTGTGCTGGGACTCCACCCTACCAAGTATGATGTCCTTCTCCAAAGACCACTCCCTCCTTACAACATGTCCAAAGTATGTTAGACAGAGCCCCAGAATCCTTGCCTCCAAGGAGCAGCGTGGTTTAACCCTCTCCAGGATGAATCTGTTTGTTTTCTTGGCAGTCCATGGTACATTCAATACTCTTCTCCAGCACCACAGATCAAAGGCATCAATTCTCCTTCTATCCTTCCTAGTCATTGCCCAGCTCTCTGATGCATAACAAGTGATTGCAAAGACCGTAGCCTGTATCCAACGCACCTTAGTCTCCAGAGTGACACCATTGCTCTTCAGTACCCTGGAGAGGTCCCTAACAGCAGCCTTTCCCATCGCAATACGTTTTTTGTTTTTTTTTTTCCCTGGCTGCTGGTGCCAAGAGTGTTGACCATGGAGCCAAGCAAACTAAAGTTGTGAACAATCTCAGTCTCTTCACCATCCATTCTGATGCTGTCAATTGATCCATTGGTGAGAATCTTTGTCTTCTTGACATTGAGCCTCAGTCCATACTGTAGGCTGCAGTCCTTGACCCTCTGCAGCAAGTGCATGAGGTCTTCCTCAGTTTCAGCGAGCAGGGTTGTGTCACCTGCATAAGGCAGATTGTTAATAGATCCTCCACCAATCCTGATGCCACGCTTCTCCTCATAGAGCCCAGTCTCTTGGATAATCTGTTCTGCATACACGTTGAAAAGGTATGGAGATAGGACACATCCCTGGCATACACCTTTCCCAATTTTGAACCATGCAGTGTTGCCCTGCTCTATTCTGACAGTTGCCTCTTGGGCCAAGTATAGGTTTCGCATTAGAACGATCAAGTGTTCTGGTCCCATTCTTCTCAGAGTCAGCCACAGTTTGTTATGATCCACACAGTCAAATGCCTTTGCATAATCAATGAACCACAGATAGACATTCTTCTGGTATTCCCTGCTCTCAGCTAAGGTCCATCTAACATCAGCTACAATATCCCTCGTACCAAAACCCCTTCTAAACCCAGCCTGGACTTCTGGCAGTTCTCTGCTGATGTACTGTTCCAGTCGTTTTTGGATAATCTTCAGTAGAATCTTGCTTGCATGTGAAATCAATGATATTGTTCTATAGTTTCCACACTCTGTTGGGTCACCCTTCTTTGGAACAGGAACAAATATAGACCTCTTCCAGTCAGTTGGCCAAGTGGTTGTTCTCCAGATTTCTTGGCACAACTTGGTGAGCACGTCCAAGGCAGCATCTGTTAGCTGAAATACATCAATTGGTATACCATCTATTCCTGGGGCCTTATTTTTTGCTATTTCCTTCAAAACAGCTTGAACTTCTTTCATTACCATAGGCTCTTGCTCATAATATTATTTTATCAAGTTCTGTGTCTGCCAATTCCTTTTGATACAGTGACTCAGTATATTCTTTCCATCTTCTTTTAATACTTCCTGGATCATTTAATATTCTGCCCAAAATATGTAATAATAAATATATAAAATATAATAAATACATAAGATACGGATAATAAATATATAAATATAAAAATATGTAATATAAAGATAAATCTATATGCTTATGTATATATAAAAATGGACTCTAATGCTTTGTTATCAGTGATGACACTTAATTTTGGGGTGGTATGTTTTCTGTCAGGCAGGGCTTTTCTTTTCCTTTTTTTAATTTGTGTGTGTGTGCCATCAAATTGGATCTGACTGGTACAAGAGGAGATTGTTCCTCCTTCTCCAGCAGAGCATCTGGTAGATTCGAACTTCACACCTCTAGGATTGCAGTGCAGCTTCTTGCCACTAGGCCACCAGAGCTCACTCAGGCAGACTTTTCATGTAGTTAAATTTATCATTTTTCTTTGTATTTTGTGCCACCACCATGAATTGCTTTTTCTGTGCTCATTTTCTTTCTTTTGAAAGAAAGTTTTAGAACTGTTTTTCTCATTAAGTTTGACTACTTTACAAGGTAGGGATGGTAGTTGCGTGTTGTCCAGTCAGAATCAATTCATAGCTGGCCCTCCAGCAGGCTTTCAGAGGTAGTAAATCACACAGGAGGAGATTGCCCATTTTTCGTCCATGGAACAGCTGGTAGGTTTGAACCATCTGCCTGTGGGATTGCAGTGCAGCTTCTTAATTTTACATATTTCCCTATGAGAAAGCACTTTCTCCTGCCCTGTCTAGTAGACTCTATCCTTTCCTCATTGAACACTTTTTGATAATAATACATGCTCTCCTCACTTATAGACTATCTCATTGTCCAACAGTTTAGATTTACAGCAGTAGCATGAAATATTCTATTCAGCCATTTGATGCATGAACCACATCTTGTCCGAAAGTGACAAACATTGAGGTGCAAGGCAAGCGTAACAGTGGTTGTGATGGCAAGGTTATGTGTCAGCTTGATTAGATCTTGATTCTCAGTGGTTTGGCACTTATTTAATTTGGCAGTTCTGTGATGCTGTAGTCTTCCTCGGTAGAAGCAGGAGTGACCCCTAGGGGAGCAGTGCCCACTGCCTGGGGGCTGGGGCTGGGGGTAGTGGCTTCCCTAATCACTGGGAGATCATGCCATCTTTCTTGTTATCAAGCAGCCAGTGATGTGGGTTTCCCTGCAGTCCTGAGTTCCTGGCCCCATCAGAAAGCTACTTGCAAAAGTTCAAAATAGTGGGGCTACTTCAGGTCTGTTCACAATCTACCATTCCATCTCCTTTATTCAATGTTGTCATTCTCTTTCTCCCTTCAGTTGGATCTTGAACTATTTCTTTATCATTTCCTGTGAAGCTTTGCTATCAGCTGTGTCTTTTCCTCTTTACTTCCTCGTCTCTTAGTTGTGGAGGGTGAGGGCTGCTGTCTACACAATCCACCACCTTCCCAGACACCCTAGTGAGTACCGTCTGGTACATTTGATTTGTAGCTTCTAACGTGACTGTATACAGACTCTAGAACTGTTTTTTCTTAATTCTGCAGCTGTATTCATCAGCACTTGTGGAATGTGAAGACCATGATTCCTTTAACCATGATAGAAACTTTGATGTGCAGTCAGTAAAGAAAGAAATCCAAAGAGGGAAGAAGTTGGTGAGTATATTACTCCTACAGGGTAAACATAGGATTAGGGATGCCTTTGAAAGGATGTCTGTTTGATAAGCCAGAGGCAGAGAAATAGCCCAGGAGGACGACTGTTAGTGGAAACTTTGTCCCTGTTGTTAGGTGCCATGCAGTCAGCTGTGTACAAAGCTGTGCACAACAGAACAGACTGGCCTTCCTGCGCCATCGTCCTAATCTCTGCCGCACTAAAGCCCATTGTTGCAGTTTCCATGTCAGTCCATCACGGTGAGGCGCTTTTCAGTGAACGTCTACTTTCTCAGTAGAAAGTCCTTCCTTGGTGAAGTTGTCCTGTTCTAATGCTGTACACACCTATTCCTCACTTACCAACAATCTTGTTACCCAACATTTTGCATTTATGGCAATTATAAAAAGTCTGACTATTTTGCATATTAACAACGTAACAAATGCTAAGGTGCAAAATTAGGGTAGACTACTGTAATACTGTCAACTGGATTCCCAGTGGTTTGGAAGTTACAGGGTGCTATAATTTAGCAGTTATGTTGTTGTTGTTGTTATGTGCCCATCGAGTCGCTTGAGACTCATAGCGACCCTCTGTACAACAGTCCTAAACCCTGCTCTAACCTGTGCCAATCGCACTGCCTCTGACACACCCATCCTAATTACCTCAGTCACTGAATCAATCCATCTCATAGAGAGTCTTCCCCTCCTACACTGTCCCTCTACCCTCCCAAGCATGATGTCCCTCTCCAAGGACCCGTCCCTCCTTACAACATGTCCAAAGTATGTCAGATGAAGCCCCAGAATCCTTGCCTCCAAGGAGCAGCCTGATTTAACCCTCTCCAGGATGAATCTGTTTGTTTTCCTAGCAGTTCATGGTATATTCAGTACTCTTCTCCAGCACCACAGCTCAAAGGCATCAATTCTCCTTCTATCCTCCCTAGTCATTGTCCAACTCTCTGATGCATAACAAGTGATTGCAAAGACCATGGCCTGTATCAGGCGGACCTTAGTCTCCAGAGTGACACCATTGTTCTTCAGTACCCTGGAGAGGTCCCTAACAGCAGACTTTCCCATTGCAATACGTTTTTTGTTTTTCTGGCTGCTGGTGCCAAGAGTGTTGACCGTGGAGCCAAGCAAACTAAAGCGGTGAACAATCTCAGTCTCTTCACCATCCATTCTGATGCTACCAATTGGTCCAGTGGTGAGAAGCTTTGTCCTCTTGACATTGAGCCTCAATCCATATTGAAGGCTGCAGTCCTTGACCCTCTGCAGCAAGTGCTTCAGGTCCTCCTCAGTTTCAGCAAGCAGGGTTGTGTCGTTGTTATGTGCTGCCAAGTGTTTGTGACTCATAGCAACCCTATTTACAAAAGCTCTGAACTCTGCTCTGTCCTGAGCCAACCTTTTAATCCCCAACTCACCTACCCCAGTCACTGAGTCAACCCATCTCCTCCACGGTCTTTTCTCTCTTGTGCTGTTCCTTCCCAAGCATAATATCCTTCTCTGAGGACTAATCCCTCCTTGCAACATGTCCAAAGTATGTCAGACAGTGCTTCAGAATCCTTGCCTCCAAGGAGCAGCCTGGTTTCACCCTCTCTCCGATGAACGTGTTTGTTCTCCTAGCAGTCCAGCTCTTCTCTAGTTGTTATGTACTCTCAATTCAACTATGACTCATGGCGACCCTATGAAGAATAATTCGGAACCCTGTCCTATCCTCAGCCAGTATCATGATCTCTGACACACCTGCCCCCATTGCCACAGTCACTGTACCAAGGAGTTTCAAAATCCTTACCTCCAAGGAGCAACTTGGTGTCACCCTCTCCAGGACAGACCTGTTTGTTGTCTTGGCAATCCATGGTACTCTTCTCCAGCACTACTACTGAAAGGCATAGATTTTTCCTCTGTCATCCTTAGTAATTTGTCCAGCTCTCAGATGCATAGCAAACAACTGAGAAGATCATGGCCTGGATCACATGCACCTTAGTCTCTAGACTGATATCATTTCTCTTTAGTCCTCTGGAGAGGTCCTTGACAGCAGATTTTCCCAGTGCAAGTTGTTTTTTGATTTCCTGACTGCTAGTGCCAAGAGTGTTGATTGTGGATCCAAGCAAGATGAAATTGTTAATAACTTTAATCTCTTCTTCATCTAACATTGTGCTGCCATTTGGCTTGGTGGTGAGTATTTTTGTTTTCTTGATGTTGAGATGAAGTCTGTATTGAAGACTGCAGTCCTTGCCCTTCTGCAGCAAACGCTTCAAGCCCTCTTTAAATTGGACAAGCAAGGCTGTATCATCTGCGTAACATAGGATGTTGATGAATCTTCCTCCAATCCTGATACCAAATCCCTCGTCATACAGCCCATCTTCCTGGATGATCTGTTCTGCATTTAGGTTGAAAATGTATGTAGAAAGGACACATTCCTGATGCAGTCCTTTCTTGATTTTGAATCATGCAGTATTCCTTTTCTCTGTTTGTACGACAGCTCCCAGGTCTCAGTATAGGTTTTGTGACAGTACAGTCAAGTTTCTGGGATTCCCATTCTTCTCATAGTCAGCCACAAATTGTTGTGATCCACACAGTCAAATGCCTTTGCATTGTCTATTAAAACCCAAATAGAAATCCTTCTGGTACTCTCTGTTTCAGCCAAGATCCGTCTGACATTTGCAGTGATATTCCTGATGCCACAGCCTCTTCTTTTTTTTTTTTAATTTAATTTTATTTTTTTTATTGTATTATTTTTACGTGTACCATCAAATCAGATCTGACTGGTACAGGAGCCACAGCCTCTTCTAACCACAGCGTATATTTCCGGCAGTGCTCTGCTGATGCACTGTTACAGTCAATTTTTTATACTCTTCAGTAGGATTTTGCTTGCATGTGATACTAGTGATACTGATCAATAATTTACACACTCTGTTGGATCGCTTTTCTGGGGAAATAAATATGCATGTCTTCCCGTCTGTTAACTAGATAGCTGTCCTCCAGATTTCTTGGCACAACCTGGTGAGCTATCTATAGCTGGACCTGTTTGTTGAAATATGTCAGTTGGTATTCCATCATTCCCTAGGGCCTTCCCCCACCTTCTGTTCCTTCAAAGCAGCTTGCGGCTTTTCCTTGTCTTCCTTTCCTTTTTTTTTTTTTGTGTGTGTGTGTGGTGTCAAATCAGATCTGACTGGTACAGAAGAAGATTGTCCCTCCTTCTCCAGCAGAACATCTGGTGGTCAGAGCAGCTCTTGATCATATGCTATTTCATGAAATTGTTCTCTGTTGGCCAATTCTTTTTGGTACTGTGACTCTGTGTATTCCTTACATCTTCTTTTGATGCTTCTTTGGCATTTTTTATAATAATTTAATTGCAGTCTTTTTTTTTCTTTGTTGTATACATACTAGAGTCGGATCCGACTGTCACAGGAGGAGATTGCCCCTCCTTCTCCAGCACAGCATCTGGTGGATTCGAACCACACACCTTTGGGATTGCAGCACAGCCTCTTGCAGCACAGCCTCTTGCCACTAGGCCACCAGACCTCCCTTTTTCGATGCTTCTTGAGTGCTCATAGCATCTTTAAGTATTGCAACTCAAGGCATGAATTTGTTCTTCAGTTCCTTCAGCTTAAGAAAAGCCAAGCGAGTTCATCCCTTTTGATTTTCTGTCTCTAGATCTTTGCACATTTTGTTATAATACTTTGTTTGTGTTCCCAAGTTGTGCTTTGAAATCTTCTGTTCAGCTCCTTAACTTGCTGATTTCTTCCCTTTACTTTGACTTCTCGGCATTTTAGTGCAATATTCAGAGTCTCTTCAGACATCCATCTCAAGTCTTTTCTTCCTCCTCTTCTCCCCCCTTTAATCAGAATGTGTGTATTGTATTCTTTTATTTAAATTTTTCTTAATGTTGGGGGAGCTCTGTTGGCCTAGTGGCAAGAAGCTGCACTGCAATTTCAGAGATACACAGTTCAAATCCACCAGATGCTCTGCCAGAGAAGGAGGCGCAATATCCTCCTGTACCAGTCAGATTCGATTTGACGGTACACGCACACAAAATAATAAAAATGTAAAAAAAAATTCTTTCTTAATGGTTTGCATACAATAATTTGTTTACATTGTGTTTCCTCCTCTGTCTTTGTAATGACCTCTTGAATTCTTCATGGATAATATTCTTGATATCATTCCACAGATCCTCTGGTCTTTGTTCATTAGTGTTCAAGGCCACAAATCTGTTCTTGAGAAGGTTTTTTAATTCAGGTGAAATTTACATGTTATATAATGATGTAGTTTGCTATAATGTAATGATATAGTTATCCTCCATTTTTACATACAAATCTAATCTTTGGAACCTAACCATCTTGGTAAGTGAAGGGCTTATTTGTGTCTGGTTCTTACAGCTCAATATCTTGCTTTGTTACCATTTCCTTTCTTTAGATACAGAGTCATCCATCCTAACATATCCAGGTATTTCTAATTGTATTTCATATTAAGCTCACCAGAAAAGAATGTAGGTCTAGTCCTTGTATAATCACAAACACTTTCCTTCTAAACTTGCTTACTGGCCACCTCTGGAGATAACATGACTGTCCATTTATTTGCGCAAGTCAAAAATCTAAGATGGGCGAGCTCTGGGGGCCTAGTGGCAAGAAGCTGCACTGCAATTCCAAAGGAAAGTGGTTCAAATCCACTAGATGCTCCACTGGGGAAGGAGGGACAATCTCCTCCTGTACCAGTCAGATCCGATTTGACGGTATACACACACAAAAATTAAAAAAAAAAAGTATAAGGCTGGCGTCCCTCTCATCCACCCGACTCGGTGTATCTTGCATCTGTTCATGTCTTTCTTAACAATGACCCAAGTGAAGTCACATGGAGAACTGCTGATGGACACCGAGACTTACCCTGCTTTCGTTCCTGCTCCGTCCTCATACCCAGTTGTCAGACTTGAGTCTTAAAAAGGTTAATAACTTTCTATTCCCCCCTGCATGCAGATAAAACACCAACTACTGGCTCTGGTTTGTAAGTTGTGCATGACCCAGACCCGGCTGATTTCTTTGCTCCCACCTCAGACTCTCCTCCTTGCCCACTGTAAATAGATAAAGAAATAAATAAAAGCAAGGCATTAAATCAATTGAGCAAAGGGAAAAGTAGGGGTATTTTTTTTATTCTAAAGTGACTGGGATAATCGGGATGGGAGTGTCAGAGATAGTGCGATTGGCACGGGACAGAGCAGAGTTTAGGGATCTTGTACATAGGGTCGCCATGAGTCACAAGCGACTCGACGGCACATAACAACAACAACAAAGTGATTTCATTTCCCGCCCCCCTTCCCATTATATTCTATAAGATGGGCTTTGTCTTCTGGGAGGGAGCTGAGCTTCATACCCCTTTGGGTGACTGGCTTGAGGGCAGACAGCTCCATGACCTACCCATGATGCCATCTGGGCCCTGGACCTCAACCCCTGCCAGCTGAGCCCCCTGCGTTCCTTCTGTGCACCCGAGGTCAGGATGCTGTGTGGGCATTTGTACTGTGCCTTCTGCAGACATCAAGGGCTCAGGAACTACAAGGCTTTCTTGCATCTGAGAAAGTCTAGGTCTGCCCAAAGCTGTGTCTGCCTCCAGACAGGGTGCATCACCCACGTGGGCCCCAGGCAGGCAGGCTGTTCTGTCCAGCAAACCCTTCTGAGTGTTTAGGTGTGTGCATCATGCCTTACTTACCCTCAAACCCTCTGACACGCCTTGACTCTAATCTAACCCACCTCTTCTACCCTCTATGACCTACTTCCAGGCCACCACTTGCTTACCTTTGGGTTGCCACCAAAGCTCAAAATTCCCACTGTTCTTGTTCAGAGACTGTTCTCAGCCCTTCAGTGTCCCCTTGTTTGCTGTCACAGCAGCTTGGGCTCAGCCTTGTCACATCTAGCTGTGACTCCAGTGTCCCTAGACGGCTTTTGACCGGAGCGTGATAATTTTGATGACTCTGCCTCTTAGAAGTCTCTTTTTGAAATTTTTTTTTTTTAAAACAAAGCTCTTTTAGTGGTTAATTTTACTTTTAGCCAGATCATTCTAAACTCCTCTATATAAAGTGTTCTAGGTAGGTGACATTTCAAAATGAGTAGTTCAGTGTCAGTAATGTTTATAGCCGAGGATCTGATTTTACAAATGGGATCCACAATGGAAAGGTTGGGCTGCTGATATAACTACTATTTAATAACAGTGGGGACTATACAGTTTAACAGGGATTACTAACACAAGGCCTCTTCTTCTGTAGAAGTGCACATTTTGCAAAGAAAGAGGCGCCACTGTGGGATGTGATGAAAAACGATGCACGAAGAACTACCACTTTTTTTGTGCCAAGAGCGACCACGCGGTCCCCCTCAGCGATAACGCGAAAGGAACTTACAAGTATTTAACAGTTTTAAGTCTTCCAGGGACTTGGGTAAGGGGTGTCGAGGTTGAGACAAGGAGACTCTGAAGCTGGTCTCACTCAAGTGGCTTTCAAGGGAGAACACGGTTTGGAAGAGGGTAGTTGGGAGCCTAACTTCACAACATCTTTCCCCAAAATTAACATCATAGGAAGAAAATTGTTCTTGCTACTCCCTCTGTGCTTTGTTTTGTGCTGGAAAACAACGTTATCAGCACGGCATGAGTTATATAAAGGGTGGGCAAAAGGACAGAGACTCAGTGCAAACTACTCTTTTCTGCAGACAGGAAAGAATCTTTGCTGCTACTGACGAGCTCAGTCCATTTTTTACATTTTTTACGTCCTTGTTTCCAGAATGAATGTCATTGCTGTCACTCATCAGTAGCTGCTCAGGTGATACGCTATTCGACAAGGACAGTACTTAATCATTCAGTCCTTGAAGAAACCTATCCCATGGATACTGCCTTTGTTTCCTAACTCTTCCTCATTTCTCTCAATAACTTTTTTATGCTAATTTTGAGCTGGTAAGGCTTGTTTTGTGCTAAATATAAGGAGAACTTTATCCAGGTAGAAACTTAGTTTTCCTTCCAAGTAAATGTTTCACTTCTCTTGAATAATAGTACAGTTTAGCTAGAGGGAATCAATAAGCCACTTGCTAAGGGAATTGATTTTCTTTTTTATCATATTCCCTTGGTTCACTTTGGGTTATAGAAACAGTTTACACAATATCTCACAAAGCTTAAGCAAAAAGCCTTAGGAACAGGGTTTACTTCCTTGAAGTTATAAAATGGGGTGGAAAAGAGAATAGTCTCCCCTGAAGAGCCTGGCACTGGAAGTGAACCAGGAATTTTACACAAGCTTGAATAGCATTTTCTTTTCTTTTAATAATAAATATTTAGGGTGCAGACATTATAAAAATAAAGTAGGTTGTTTTTCAAATCACAAGCAAATAGAAATAATGTTTTAAAACAAAAAATAAAAATATCTTAACGCTTATTTGAAATTGTGTTTTCAGAGTGTTTTGCAGAGAACATGCTTTTAAGTTACCAGCCATCACTCCAAGTGGTAAGTTTCCCAAATTTAGTATTGCGCTCGAGTAAAACATGAAAGAATCTGATCAAATTCAATCTCACTAAATGACCTTCAGAGTTAACATTTGATGCACTGATGAAATTCAGCCTCCAGCTGCTTTGTGCTCTCTGTTTCATGACTGACGTGTTTCTGTCCTGGGTGAACCATGTGGTTCTCTCCAGCACCTTCCATTGTCTCCACAATCACGGGACCTGACTACCAGCGTGGCGCAGAACTGACCTGTGACACTGTTGAGCTTCTAGCAGATTATGGGAATGTCTAATAAAGTTGACAAAGTGCTCCAAGTTCTTGGAATGAAAACTTCCTGAAATGAGTGGTTAGCTCTCACTAAGAAATGGGACCGTGTCTAACTGGAGCACTGGGACGCGCATCCATCCATGAATGGCCTCAGCTTTCTTGCCAGAAGAATAGGGCCTTTGGACTTCCAAGTCAGTAAATCTGAAGAGAAGGAGAATATGTCTTCTTTGGTTAAGTGTCTGTTCATATCCTGTACCTACTTTGTGATTGGGTTGTTTATCTTGTTGAGGTACTGGAGTATTCTATAAATTCTAGATGTAAGGGACTTCATTCTTCAAAAGCTGCAAAATAGCCTATTGGCTGATTGTGCCACACCTAACCTCTTTGTTTACAGGCATTTAGGCCATGCGAATGTTTTCTCTTTTACACTCAGTACTGAACATTGTTCTTCACATGTATTTGTGCTTTTCTGAAGATATTATCAGGGGAAATTGTTTTAAGTAGAATTGCTTGGTCAAAAAGTATAAGCAACTTACAACCAGGAGAGAATAAAATAAATGGGACCTTCTAAGAATCAACTCCCTACACATGCTCTTGCTCTGGCTCTCTTTTTCTGCTGACAGCATGTTTTAAGTTTTGGGTTCTTCACCAAAGAAGACATTCAGATGGCAAAAAAACACATGAAGAAATGCTCAAAATCCCTAGCTTTAAGAGAGATGCAAATTAAAACGACTATGAGATATCATCTCACTCCAGTAAGAATAGCAAAATTTAACAGAACAGCAAACGACAAATGCTGGCGAGGTTGTAGAGAAACTGGAACCATTATTCACTGTTGGTGGGAGTGTAAAATGGTGCAATCTCTGTGCAAGTCTGTATAGTGCTTTCTAAAAAAGTTGCAACTAGAAATACCATTTGACCTAGCAAGTCCATGACTGGGAATATGCCTTAAAGAAACCATAACTGCCACCCAAGCAGATATATGCACACCCGTGTTTATTGCACCTTTGTTCATAATAGCAAAGAGTTGGGAACAACCCAAGTTCCCATCAACAAATGAATGGATAGAGAAGCTCTGGTATATTCACACAATGGAATACTATGCTGCATTGAAAATTAAGGAACTCATGAAATATTATTCAAAATGGGTGACTCTGGAGGACATTATGCTGAGTGAAATATCTCAGTCATAAAAGGACAAATATTGCATAGGGCCACTGTTGTAAAACGGGACTGACATTGGTGCTGAGGGAAGACTGAGAAAGAGGGGACAAATAATGTACACTGCATTGAAACAGATGAGGGAGAGAACTGTTGTTGAAAAGGGATATATAATGAGGTATTATTGTCCTGACAGGAGTCCAGAACAAAGGTTGCACAATGGAGTGGACTTGGCGGGGAGGAATTTTATAACCATGAAAGAATTTTTGTTTTACTTTTTAAAGAAAAGAATGAACTGGGGGAGGAGGGGTGGGCAGGGAGAAAAGTACAACAATGAATGAATGGAAACCCTAAGTCTCTGTAAACTTTAATTAAAATTAATTTATTTTTAAAAGATGAAAAAATGAAAGGGGGGAAAAAATCCCTATGCAACATCAAAAACTTCTCCAATAGGGTATGAAGGAAACCCACAGACTAGGGTGGAAAAAAAATTTGGCAATGACCTGTGTGTTAAGGGACTTAAAGCTACAATTGATAAAATCCTCCAGCACCTCAACAAGACAAAGGTGAACAGCTCAGTCATAAAATGGGCACAGGATAGGAATAGACACTTAACTGAAGAAGTCATTAAGATGGCAAACACATGAAAAATATTCAAAAAACCATCAGAGAGATGCAAATCAGAACAACCATGAGATATCATCACACATCAGCAATAATAGCAGAGTTCAACAGGCCAGCAAACAACAAATGGCTGGTGAGGCTGTGGAGAGACTGAACTCACTGTGATGGGAGTGTAAAATGGTACAGCCACTATGGAAGATGGTCTGGCTCGTTCTTAAAAAGTTAGAAATAAGAATACCAGATGTATACAAACCCATGTTTATTGCTGCGTTATTCACAATAACAAAGAGATGGAAGCAACCCAAATGCCCAACAACAAAAGAATGGATAGAAAAAAGAAGGTACACAATGGAATGTAACGCAGCACTGAAAAACAGTGAACTCGTAAAACATTACACAACATGGGGGAGCCTGGAGGGCATCATGCTGAGTGAGATACCTCAGTTACTAAAGGAAAAATACTGCATAACATTGCTGTTATAAAGTAGGTCAGGCATGTTGGGGATTGGGGAGAGAACAGGAAAAGAGTAGATAAATAATGAATACTGCATTAAATCAGAGGGAAAGAACTGTCCGGAAGGCATAAATGATTAGGCCTATATGACAGCTACCTGGCACAAGGTTGCATTGCTGAGAGGGCTGAGGGAGGGGGAGATGAGGGGAGAAGGAAATGTACAAGAATGGGATACAATTTCAGTGTTTTTTAAAAAGTATAAGCAGTGAAACTTTATTGGGTAATTAGTCCTCAGATGCTGAACCAGTCGTACACAAGTACTCAAATCCTTGCTAACATTTTCTATTAAGCACCAATATCTCATTTAATGGATCCAAGAAACAAGAGATTCTCACCACTAGGCCTATTGACAGCATCATGATAGATGGAGAAGAGATTGAGATGATTAACAATTTCAGCTTGCTTGGTTCCACAGACAACAGTTTTGGCACCAGCAGTCAGGAAATTAAAAGATAAATTGCATTGGAAAATCTGATGTCAGGGACCTCTCCGGAGTGCTAACTAGCAATGATATCAGTCTGGAGACTTAAGGTGCACCTGATCCAGGCCATGTTTTTCTCAGTTGCTTGCTACGTATGCATCAGAGAGCTGGACAAGGACTAAAGATGACAGAAGAATTGGTGCCTTTTGAGTTGTGGTGCTGGAGAAAAGTCTTGAACATACCGTGGAGTGCCAAGAAAACAAACAGGTTTGTCATGGAAACAGTGAAGTCAGGTTGCTCTTTAGCAGTGAGGATTTTGAAGCTCCATCTTACATACTCTGGGCATATTGCCCGGGGTGGGGGACCGGTCCCTTGGAGTAAGACATCATGCTTGGAAGACCTTGGATGAAATGGATTAACACAGTGACTGGGGTAATGGGGGCAGGTGTGTCAGAGACTAACTTAGAAATAACATTGATAGATCAGAGTTGTATGCCTTCTGTAGTCAAACGTCACTGTCTTCCTGGATTCTGAATTTCCAATGATCTGTTTTCAGGTGGTGACTCGGCAGCATCTAACAGCAGCACTCCAGCCACCAAAAGAAAAAGAGGAAGGAAGAAACGTGTCTCAACAGGCATAAAAGTACTAGAATGTGACTTTTCTGTTAACAGCTTTCATTTTCTTTAGGCAAAGTTCTCATTTTAGCATCCCCAGATTGCAGGCAAAGTAGGTTTACCCAACTATTTGAATAGGTCATATTTGAATAGTATTCCTCACTTGTGGTCTCAGCCTGGATGGAGTTGAGGCTGCTCTTGGGAAGACTCTTCTGTGAAGAATTCTTTATTCAGAAAGCCCTTGGCTCTTTCCGGGATGACAGAACCATAAGGAGAGGAGTGGAGAGAAGCGAGCAGTCCCAGGGATGTCTGTGTCCTCTGTCTCCTCTAGTAACGCCACTCCCACGTTGCCTGTGAAGCACTCCGGGAAACAACCCACATGCTTAGGTTTCAAAGGTCTTAGAAGTACAAACAATTCAGCGAAGGGTCTTATAATGCCACATATTCTCCAGCTGTATGGTCTACTATTATGTTAATAACTCTTACTAGAATTTCATAAATAACTTTTGTATAAAAATCACCAACTTTGTAGTAGCTTGAGTGTTGTTCTGGTGCAGGAAGCTTTGTGATTGGTGGTGCAATACCAGCAGGGTCAACCCTAGTGGGCAAGTCTGAGTAGCAATTCTAGACCAAGAAACACTAGAAAGAAAAGACTGAGGATTTACCTTAAAAGATTAAATTGTGCAAACACTGTAGAATTTTGTCAAACATTTTTGCTGGAAGTTGAGCCCTCTAGGTTGGAAGGCACACGCACAAAAAATCCCCAGAAGCAACAGCAATGGACTTGGCCATGTTGCCGTTGTTAAGTACTGTCCAGTCGGCTCCAGTACTTTGTTAAGTAGGTCGCAGCCCTCCAGATGACAGACTGGAACCCTGCCTAATCCTGCTCCATCCTTGTGAGCACAGATCCTCTCAGCTGAGCTTGAAGCCCATCATTACAGTCACACTGTGTCAGTCCATCTCATTAAAACCCTGCAGCGTCTTCACTGACCCTCTGCTTCGCCAAGCATGACGTCCTTCCTCAGGGACTGGCGCTGCCTGAAAACATGCCCGAAGTGTGTGAGACCAAGTCTCACCATCTGTGCTTCCAAGGAGCATTCCAGCCGCACTCCTTCCAAGATAGATTTGTTTGCACTTTTGACAGTCTGTAGTATGTTCAGTATAACAGCAGCCAGGACATAAAGAGACAAATTGCACTGGCAAAGTCGGCTGTGAGGGACCTCTCAAGAGTACTGTAGAGCAATGACATCAGGCTGGAGACTAAGGTGCCCCTGATCAGGGCTATAGTCTTTGCAATTCTGTGCTATGCATCAGAGAGTTGGACAGTGAATAGGGGTTGATAGAATTGATGCCTTTGAGCTGTGGTGCTGGAGAAGAGTGTTGAATATAGCATGGACTGCTAGGAGAACAAACAGGTTAGTCCTGGAGAAGGTGAAGCCAGAATGCTCCTTGGAGTCAAGGATTCTGAAGCTTCATCTGACATACTTTGGGCATGTTGCAAGGAGGGACTGGTCCTTGGAGGAGGGACATCATGTTTGGCAGAGTGAAGGGGCGGCGCAGGAGAGGAAAACCCTTGATGAGATGGATCGATTCTGTGACTGGAGCGGTGGGAATAAGTGTGTTTGAGATGGCTAGGTTGGCACAGGCTAGAACGGCATTTAGAGCTCTTGTGCATAGGGTCGTTATGAGTCGCAAGCGACTCGATGGCACATAACACCACCACCACCACAAATCAATTTTTATTTGATCTTTCTAACTCACTGTTCAACTTTCAGATGAAAATACCATGACATGGGCAGGCACACCTGCATCTTTAAACTGACATCCTGGCTCTCTATGACTTGTAAGGAGTCCTTGGCAGTACATTTGCCCAAAGCCAGAAATTGTTTGATTTCATGGTTGCATTTTCCATGAGTGTTGATTTTGGATCCAAATAAAATAGAATCCTTGACAACTTCAGTCCTTTTTCCTTTTATCATGATGTTGCCTGCTGGTCCAGCTGTGAGGGTTTTTGTTTTCTTGATGCAGAGGTATCGCCCGTACCGTACACTGGAGTCTTTGATGTTCTTCAATAAGAGCGTCAAGTCCTCCTCACATTCAGCAGTTAAGGTAGTGCCGTCTGCATAGCATAGGTTGCAAATGAGTGATTATGAGGAGGCGTAGGACTGTGTTCTGTATCCAGGGTCACCAGAGGTCAGAAATGACTCAATGACAAATGATAACATTTTGATAAAGCATATGAAAATGTCTTCTTTTTTTTGGTTGTGGTTTTTTCTCTCTTTGGAAACGTATTTCCCTCCATAAGAGTGCATGTATATGAATATGAGCCAGGAACCTTCACTCCACCGAGACACTTCATGTTTACATCCTGCAGATGAATAATAGGCAGCATGATTTCCACCACAGATAAACCACTGGTTCCTCCACAAAAGATTTAACTGTGCTGCTTTTGATGAGTGCTGTCCCGTTGATTCTGTGACTGGGACCACGTGGCGTAGACTGCCTGTGGGCTTTCCTGGGCTGTGCTCTTCATCGAAGGAGATTGCCAGGCTTTCTCCTGCAGAGCAGCCGGGTGGGTCTGACCTCCAGCCCTGCAGTCAGCAGCCGAACTGCTGTGCCTCCAGAGCTCCACATTTATCATTAAGCAATGTTGAACCCAGCAGTGAAGGGCAGTGCAAGGTAACCATGGCTTTTGTCTTCCTAGCAACCACTGGCGTACAGCAGCCAAGGAAGGAAGGTGGAGGAAGAGCACGGCAGGGATACAGGTTTGTCACACCTGCTGTCTGTCATACCACTGTCACACGTACTGTCACACCTGCCTGTCACATCTGCAGTCACACCCACTCACTGTCTTGTCATACCCGCTGTCTTGTCACATCTGCTCGCTGTCTGTCACACCCGCTGTCTTGTCACAAGTGCTGTCACACCTGCTGTGTGTCACACCTGCTGTCTGTTTCACTCTCAGTCTGTCACACCTGCTGTTTGTCACGTGCTTTGCACACCCACTTCTGTCACACCTGCTGTCTGTTTCACTCTCAGTCTGTCACACCCACTGTCTGTCAGACCCGCTGTTTATCACACGTGCTTTGCACACCCGCTTCTGTCACACCTGCTGTCTGTTTCACTCTCAGTCTGTCATACCTGCTGTCTGCCCTGACTATCACCCCCAGGATTTTTTTTTAGTGAAGATCTTTGTAACTCAGAGTTGGTGTGTTCATTTCCAGAGGGTGTGGTAGTAAAGTAACATAAACTGTGGCACTTAAAACAAAAGAAACTTATTCTCTCACAGTCTTGGAGGCCAGAAGTTCAAAAACCAAGGTGCTGGCCAAGCTGTGTTCCGTCCACAGCTCTGGGGGAGAAGGTGTCCCCTGCGTCTTTTCCCACTTCTGGATATTGTTGTGTTCTGTGACTCGGGGCCACACCACTCCAGTCTCTGCCTCTAGCTTCACACACCTCTTCTCCTGTGTTGTGTGTCTGCCTCATTTGCCACTGGACATGGGGCCCATTTGGATGATTTTCTCACCACAAGATCCTCAATGAAATGACATATGCAAAGACCCTTTTACCAAAGTAGCATTCATAGGTTTTAGGATTAAGATGTGGATGTATCTTTTGGGGAGACCACTTTCAGCCCATTATATATTTTGGCCTCCCAAATTCACCTTTCCCCCCATGTCCAAAATATATCCAACCCTTTTACCATCTTCAAAAATACCAATCTATAAAAGCATCAAGTCTTAAGCCTCAAATCTCATGTAAATATCATCAGTTCAAAAGTCCCAAAACTCATCTCCTAAGTCAGGGAGAGTTGAAATCAGAGTAGAAGTCCTTCTGAGGCAGTGGTACCTAAGAAGAGCCTACCCAAGGTGGTATGTAAAACTGACCACCATAGTTGACATCCACGTTAACCTTTATTCTTCTAGACTTAAGAGTCATTAATACCATTCTCATAACTCTCAGCTGCATCATAAACCTAGCATTATCAGACTAACTGGTGATTGCTCCTCAGTGTTGAGAAGGGATACACTACATATGTAAGAATCCAGAACTGCCCAAATGCAGAGTCCTGGGATGTGCAGCAGCTCACACTGCTTTACTTCAGGAAGTGAGAGCTGAATAGCACAGAACACCACCATGCACAAATAACACAGCAACTGTAATGGGGAAAGTAGAGCTGTCATGCCAAAGATTTAAAGCTAAAGAAAAAACCTTTCTGATTTAAATAGTGACTCCCAGCAGAGAAGTTTATTCAGCTTGGAGGGGGAGTATTAAGAATATAACTAAGAAAAGATACAGATGTGATCCCATTATCTTACTAATTAATTATCCTCCTCCATCACTAGAGGAGACCTTAAGAATTGACTGTCTACTGAGTCTTGATAAGATAACTGACTTCAAACAGAGGTAACGCCTTTTAAAATAATGTTTATTTCTAGATGCAATTTTGAAAGTTACTTTTTTGAAGAAATGTAAGGAAGCTGGCCTCCTTAATGACTTATTTGTGGAACTATCAGGCAAGCTTCATTCGATGCAGGACAGACTCCTGGAAGGGACTGCTTCAGAATCAGGTACTGGAAAAGCAGTATTTCTACAAATGGAGACTTCTCCCAGACCCAGATATAAAATACATGAAACCAAAACAAATCGTCTGCATCTTCTTCCCACACCACTTCCTTCTTTATTTCATTCTTAAATGAAAGCATTGTGCCAAAAATTTTTGCTTGGAGAAGTGGCGTGTCCGAGAGGAAGAGGAAGCCCCTCAATGAGATGGATCAGCACAGTGACTGCAACAGTAACCTTGAGCATGGTTGACATTGTGTGGATGACACAGGATACAAGGTTTCAATCTGCTGTTCACCCGGTCTCTGTGAGAAACAGTTGACTTGTGGGCACCAAACTGCAACAGATGGAATGCGAGTATTCAGAAACTCACCGAATTAGTAAAAAGACCTTGAATCCAGAACGTCCTGGTGTATCTCGAGAAGATGCCTAACCAAGGCTGAGGGGAGGTAATCTGAGAGTCTGTTGCACACTTGTTCCCACTCCTTCTCTTTCCTCACCCATTGCTAAATCAAAATGATGCTGTTACAGTTACGGTTTGACTCATTCTATTCCTTAATACGGGAGCTCTGGTGGCCTAGTGGTAAGGAGCTGCGCTGCCAACCCAAAGGGCTACCGTTCAAATCCACTTGCTGCTCTGCAGAAAGACGAGCAATCTCCTGTGTGATGACTGCCTCCGAAAACCTGCTGGAGGGTCCACTGTGAGTCGGTCCCAACCCAGTGGTACCTAGCAGCAACAACTAACAATTTCATAAACCAAGCACCTTTTTAAAATAATGGTAACTTAAAGTATAATGTATAGGAAGGAAAAGTAAGTTTGTTTTGACTGATGTATAGCTTAAATAGGAAGTTTGACAAAGAACTCTTTGGGATGTTTAAGTTCTATTTCTACTAAGAATAGCTAATTCTTATGAGGAGCCCTCGTGGTATAGGGGATCAGACAGCCATCTGAAGGTTCTGCGGTTTGGATCCCCGGGAGAAAGATGGGCTGTCCCCACACATAAACCTTGACGACCTCGCAAACCTGTTGGAGGTCGCCGTGAGTCCGAAGTGACCTGATGGCAGAGTGTTTGCTTTGATCCCGAGGTCGTGATCTTGAGCATTTTATTTATAAATTACAGGTAAATGCTTGACAGTCTCTGTAAAGGCCAAGCATGCAGACAACTCACAGCTGACCCTCCAGTGGGTTTTCAGAGGCGGTTAATTACAGAGGAGAAGACTGCCCTTTCTCGGTGCAGCTTGTGGCTTTTAATCTGCCTCTGGGTTGGCAGAGCAACTCCTCCTCTATCCATCAGGCCCCAGAGTATAAGCAGCAACATTAAAAAAATTGAATGAGGGGAAAAATTTTTTTAAAAATTTAATGTATTTTGATTTGAAAAGGATTATTTTCTGTAGGTTAAAGTGAAGTTAATGAAGTAAAGGAATATATGATTAGGCACTATATGCATGTTAATTAACAATATGGAACAAGAAGTGCATTGCAGAGTGGACTGAGGGAAAGGGAGGAAAATGTGCAATGATGAATTAAAGAAATAAAACTTTTTTAAAATAAGGATAAATAATAAAAACAAAAAATGTTGATTTTTTTAAAAGAAAAAAAACCCCAAAAACCAAAAGGTGAAGTTAAGAATGTTTCCTAAAGTTTATCCTTTCATTTATCCTTTTTTAACAGACCAGCACTTCTTAATCTTGGGCGTGCCCTGGAGTCACCTGGGGCATTTGTTAAAGTAGATCTGAGTCTCACCTGTGAAGGCTCAGGGCCAGCTGGTCTGGGAAGTCAGGTGCCCGCCACGTTTCATGGTGACCCTGTGAACAGCAGATCTGAACCGTCCTTAACCCACAGCATCCTCATCTGTTACACTCGAGACCACTGTTACAGTCACTGTCAGTCCACCTTTTATCTATGAATGTTTTCTTTTTGTTTTAAAAATATTTTTCAGTTTTAATAGTGTTTATTAATATTGTTATCATTCATATACATTGTGTTTCATGCATGTACATTGTGGTTTATAGTCTTTCCTCTACATTGTATTTCGTTCATGTATAATGAACTGTCATCTTACTAATAACTACAGTCCTGAAAGCACGTAAGCCAGCTATGTCATGCCTCATGCCCTGATACCCCGCTTTGAGACAGCCAATTTGACCTTCCCATCCCTATCAAACCAGCCCTCTTGAGGGAGCACGCCTGCCCCTTTTACTGAGGAAGTTTCTGTTCAAGTTGGAAACTCTGAGCCTCTTCGTCCACAAGCAAAGTCCAGTACAGTGCAAGCTGTTCTGTGTCAGTCCATCTTGCTGAGGATGCTCCTTTGTCTCTCTGACGCTCCACGTTTCCCAGGGTCTGGCCCCTCCTGACAACGCATCCAAAGTGTGTGAGACGAAGGGTCACTGTCATGACCTCTGAGGAGCACCCTGGCTGCACTCTGTCCAAGACAGACTTGTTATTTCGGTCGTCCACAGAAAGAGGGGCCTGAAGTTGCAGTTCTAATATTCCCCGGTGGATGCTATTGCTGCTTTGATCTATCAGGAGAGTTTCTCAGACATTGTCTCTGATTACTTTTCCTTATTTGGGGTTAAAGCAGAGGGGCAGCAACAAAGAGGTAGTCCCTCAACAAAATGGACTGACACAGTTGCAGCAACAGCGGGCTGAGGCGGAGCAGAGGCCGTGAGGGCGGCCCAGGCCCAGGCTGGCAGGGTTTGCTTCTCTACATGTGGCGACTGAGTCTGAATCCACCTGGCAGCACCTAACAACATACATTTCACAATTAACACCAAAAGAAAGGGGGGGGGGAACAGAAAAAAAATTTAATACCAAAAATGTTTTTCTCCCTCCAGACTATGAAGAAATTGGGACTACACTTTTGGATTCAAGATTATTTCAAGACACATTTGTAAATTTTCAAACAGGTATGAGTTACAAAAGACTTTAGCACCACCATTTAGAAGTATTTATCATACACAAAAAATTGCATTATTTAACTGATAAAGATTATATTTTTGAAGACTTCATTGTATTAATAACAATAAAAGGTCCATTCCCATGATTTTAAGAATTGGCAGGTCAGTTACAACTGGTACATAAGGTTCTTTTTGAGCTTTCCCCCATGATTTAAAAGCTGCCTTTGCAGTAAGTGAAGTGATTGTTGTGATGGTCTGTTCTGAGTAGGGAGTTGGATCAAGGGTTTAAGTGAAGGCAAACTGATCTAACATTGCAGGGCTTCTGAACACTGTTGCCCTGCTCAGAAATGGCAGAGGTGTTGTGACATCTCCACAAGCCCTGCAGTGATCCAGTTTCCTACATCAGGCCCTCCATGCCTCTTCCAAGTCTAGTTACTGTGTGTTCCTGTATCACATTGTCATGACAGAACGTCCCCAGAGTCCACATTAAAGGGCAAGCAGGAGTTATCCAGAGTGCAGGCTCCCTGCCTTCCAACGCCACAAGTTTCTGAAAATCCTTACAGGAGACTGCCTACCTTTTCCCCATGGAGCAGCTGGTGGGCTTAACCTGCCGAACTTTCAGGTAACAGCCCATCCCAGAGTGGTCCTTTAGAAGCGAGGATGCTGAGATTTTGGTCTCCGGTACTTTGGGCGTCAGGAGGGGCCGATCTCTGGAAAGCCAGCAGGCCTGGTAAAGTAGAGAGGGTCGGCAAACGAGGAAGACTCTCAACAAGACCTTGCACCAACAGACAAGTGACTGCAACAAACTGAACTCATGGCTGTTGAGTTGATTCCAGTGCTCAGCAATGCTCCATCAGTATCTGAGGTGGTAAATCTTAGGTGAGGTGGCTGCCATCTGTCTTCCTCAGAACTGCTGGGAGCTTCAATCTATCAAATTCGCCTTTGGGTCAGCAGGGCAGCAGCTCCCACTGTGCACGACAGCGCCAGAGCTCCTCAGGGTGCAACAGAGGTCTTAGTGGAGCAGAGCAGAAACCGTGAAGACACAGGGGGTTTCACTGTTAACCACAGGCTTGCTATGAGTTGGACTAGACCACACGACCACCGCCCGAACTATTGGTAAATCGGTGTTGGTAACCTGGGAGCTGCCTGTAACCCACACTCTGACTTCAGCATACACAAGTGTCTCATTTGGGCTTTAAAATTACATGTTAATTAGTGTAATTTTGCATTACATTTATAATCACAGAAAATACCTTTCTTTAAAGTTTTTTTTATTTTATAATTTTTTTAATTTTAATGAACATTTACAGAGATTTTGGATTTCCAGTCATTCAATGCTGCATTTCTATCTCTGCCCATCCCCCCCTCCCCCCCAGTTCACTCCTCTCTTTGAAAAGTAATAGAAAAAATCCTTCATTGGTATACAATCCCCTCCCCTCTCAGTACACTCCACTATGCAACCTTCATTCTGGACTCTTGTGATAACCATAATACCCAATCATATATCACTTTTAAATTGTTCTCTCCCTCATCTGTTTCAGTGCAGTATACACAATTTATCCAGTTTTACAGAGAACTATTTTTAACAGTCTGTAAAAATGGATTCTCTTTGAGGTCTCTTGAAAATGGATAATTTAAAAACAGCCCTTAAAAATCTAATTCTGAAATGTTTCCCTTTCATCTAAAAGTCACCTGTTGGAAAGGTAGTGGGAAGATGTCCCCAGTGAGGGTTACTTCGGGTCCTATGTCACAGTGGGACGATGGGGAAGAGAGGCCGCTCATAAATGTGATTTAAATTGCTTAATTTTTAGTTGATAGAGGCTTGCCTAATTTAGCTTGACTCTATTTTGAGTAAAGTAGCTATGAGTTTTAAAGCTCTTCTATTTTGCGGTTTTTAAAACTTAAGTTTGTTATTTAGAAAGTCAAACTATTTTTTCCCCAAGTTTCCACCCTAAAAGCCGTCCCCTGTGGTTTAAACAGAACCAAAAGCTTTTATGTCCCACTAAAAACTGGATGTATTTTCATGAAGAATTTGGCCTTATCCTTGATATCCCAACCAATTCTCTAATCATCCTTTCTCATTTTAGAGCTTCGAGACACCCAAAGGGGCTTTTTCTTCTTTTAAAAAAAAATTCAAAAAATCTATTTTTAAGGATTTCCTGACCAGCATTCTAAGTGGTTAATGCTAGAAATGCATTGTGAATTAAAGCTAAAGGAAATGTAATCCAGGGATTAGCTCTGGCCTAGTGGTAAGAAGCTGTGCTGTCTTCCCAGAGGCACCTGGTTCCAATCTACCAGCTGCTTAGTGGGAGAAGGGTGGGCAGTCTCTGCTCATGTGATTTACTGCCTTTGAAAACCTGCTGGAGGGTCAGCTATAGGTCAGTTCCAACTAGACGGCACAAAACAACACAAGCCCTAGACTGCTTACAGCTTCGCCACAGTTCCCTGGCAGCATTTGGGGAACGGTACTGTGGCCTGTGCCGTTGCATGTGAAATGGGCGAGGGCTAGGAATGGCATGTGACATGTAATAAAGCCACTACAAAATCTGCAGTCACTGTACTTCTTCTTCTCCTAGCACTGGATAATGAAATTGACCAGTCTGAAAAAAGGCAGCAGCAGCTCAAGGGAGAGCTTGAGCTACTTCAGGACTTAAAGCAAACCTTGTGGCTTCTTCAGGAAAGCAAGGGCCTTGGCTCCAGGACCCCTTCATTGTCTTCTCTGTCATGTTCAGGATGACCCTCTCCTAACTGGGACCTGGCAAAATGACAGGCAGGCACACACTGGAGGCCCCACCTGTGAGGACAAGAAGTCTTGGGACTAAGCCCGCACCTGCTTCATCCACAAAACCTGTTGCTGATGGACATCTTAAATGGGTTGATGTTTGCTGTTGTCCCTTTCCTGTTAGTTATCTCTTTTATTCACCAATAAAGTATCTTTTACTCTACTTGAGGGCATTTGGTGGGAAAAAATGGGATCCTGAAACTTACGATGGAGACTCTTAGTTACTTAGTGCCGCTAGAACAGAACTACCACAAAGTGGCTTTAGCAGATAGAAATGTTTTCTTCACAGTTAGTTGTTAGATCCTGTCAAGTCAGCTTGGACTCATAGTAACTCCACGTACAACAGAACCCTGCTTGACCCACACTGTGATATGGGGTTACTGGCACGATAGAAGACATGCCACCGATGGGACAGGTACCAGTAGGATCACCCACAGTAGGCAGGTTTCACTGAGCTCCCAGACTAGGGCAATGGAGGAAGCAACCCGACCATTCACGGCTGAAATAATGGGCCCTTGAGAACCCCATGAATAGTAGTGAACATTGTATGTTTGTTGTTTTTTGTTGTTGTTATGTGCCGT